CAAAGAGTAAAAGGATTTAGCATAGCATTTAAAAAATGTCAGGTGTTAAATGCTAAGCCCACTGAAATCAGTGGAAGTCTGATGTGCACAGAACTGCAAAGGTCAGGTTATACAGAGCTTTTCAAAAAGCTGGAATCAGCAGGGGGGATTGTTTTTAAAGGGAAGTAACCGCTTTTAGGTTCACATTCAGATTCTAGAAAGTGTACATCCCTCTTTAAGGTGCTCCCTATTCACTTTGATTCAAAATCAGTTAACAGTGAAATTAAGACAATAATTGGTTTTACATCTCTGTAAAGAGTGAGCAGTTGCAAATAATTTCTCTATGCCGGAGAGGACCTACATGTGTACAGCCTAGGGAGAAGTACCTGTGTTGTTTGACAGCTGTGTTTGCTTTCTTCTTGAAGTTTCTGTGATACACACTTTTTAAATTTTACTGTCTACAGAAAGGTAAATAGCATTTCTGTAATAGGAAATTTTACCTATACAATAATCCTTGTGGGACACATATATACTCAGTGCTAAGCAAGATTCCTGAAACAAATATTGAGAATATATGTAAAAGTTTTTTTTTTTTTTTTTTTTTTTTTTTTTAATATGCATTACCCCAAAAAACCCAACTCCTTGAAGATCTCCTTCAAAAAAACACATCTAGAAATTTTAGAAAGATGCTGTATATTTTGATATTAACAAGGATGGAGCCTGCTGTAACAGGATCGTGGAACACGAAGAGGAAGGGAAGAGAAAAAATCACACTTTATCAAGAATTTTGCCTTCCTAATTTATAGAAGTCTTAAGCCTCTGAAACAGCTATAAGGAAAAAATCACACTTTCAAGGTGACAGAAGATGAATTCTGTTCTAAAGAGCCATAACTTGCCAGCATGCTGCATGGGGCAGTGTGGCCATTGGGTGAAGTGCCATTGTAGTTGTAGTTTTCGTATGTCTATTTGGAGAAGAAAAAGAAATGAAGCAGGTTGACTGTGTTGACAGCCTTTCTGGTACCCAACATACAGGATGTTTGTTACAGCTCTGATTTCACTTTAAGATACTGACAAAACCATGCTTTTTTTGAGGCTGTTAAAAGAACTTATTGAGAAGTATTGAGCAGACTTTTGGGGAGTGCCACTCATCGCTTACATCATCCAATAGCCTTTATGGAATGGTTTATTTCACCAGGACATTGCTGAGGTTTTGGGGCCTCTTATACCACTAAGTTGTCTGATATGGACTCAGTCCAAGGCATATTTGAAGGGGAACTGTGTATCTTTGAAAACTGACACACGCTTTTGAATGCTTAAAGTACTGTCTTCCTGCCTTTTTACATTACTTAAGTGAGCCAAATCCAAATTGCTTGGAGTTTCTTAGAAGACATAAATCTCAACAAATGGTAGGGGATTTTTTTTATCACGCCCGTTCTTCTCCAATTTCATCCAATGTTGATTATCCGAGGGGAAACAAATCTTCAAACATACATAATAATTAACTCTCCTAAAGATAATAAATATGGTCTGTCATTGCAATAACTTTCTTCCTACAACTTCCTGAAGGGAGGTTGTGGTGCAAAAGGGTCTGGCCTCTTCTCCCAGGCAAATAGTAGGACCCGAGGAAATGGCCAGAAGTTGTACCAGAGGAGGTTTATGTTGGATATTAGGAGAAACTTTTTCTCTCAAAGGGTGGTCAGGCACTGGAATGGCTGCCCAGGGAGGTGGTGGAGTCGCCGTCCCTGGTAGTGTTCAAGAGGCGCCTGGATGTGGAGCTACGAGAGATGGTTTAGTAGCTTGTGGCACTGATAGGAATGGGAGGGTGGTTGGACTGGATGATCTTGCAGGTTGTTTCCAGCCTTGTGCTTCTGTGATTCTGTGTGATTCCTTCAGCAATCTGGGGATGGTTGAAGTTCTGATCTTGTAAACAGCTATACTTAGATATTTTACTGACTGGAGTATTCTAATTATTTCCTTCTTTCTTTCTTTCTTTCTTGCTGGTATTGTTTATTTTTATTTGCTGTGATTATATTTTTTTCTTTGTGATAACCCATGTTAAGATTACAAGAAGATTAGGACATCCCTGTGACTAGGCTTCATCAAGTCATGTACAAGATACAATCTGTTTCTACAGTAACAAAGTTACCCTTGATAGAGCAGAAAATTAGGATGAATTACTGAGAACAAAGACAGCACTTGGAGCATTACATGGATGTCTGTTATAACCTGTTACTTGTTGGTTTTGTAATATAAAACTAGAAGGCACTTTTTCAAACATCAGGGATGTCTGTTTCAAACTGCAAGATTTGCACATGTTTACCCTGAATAACTTCGTGTTAGAAGATGATTAGTTTAAGAAGTTTATTGGGTGCAGTGTATGACATACAGTTACTGTGAACCACAGGTTTCCGATTAATGGAGTGACACTGTTTCCATGCAAGAAACTCCTCAGTAATCGATTTATTTCATTCATGTTGTGCTCAACATGAGTTATACACTGTTCCTTTTAATTGTATAAAACAGATTTTGTGTCATTAACGACTCATAGGTAAGAAATTCAGTGAATTTCTAAGGTCTACTTAGCAGTTCACAGAATAACATAGACAGATTTGGGGAAAAAGTGTCCCTTCAAAATACTTTATTGTAGAAAGCAAGAATGCAAATAAGACAAAGTTAATTGGAGCGGTTCAGCTTTAAGGGGAGTTTTCCTCTGGAAGGAATCATTTTGCTGTCTGGTGCTCATTGCCATGACACGCATTCCCTTCTTTTGTCCTTATGGAGTAACTTCCCAGAAGGCTAGAAGTACTCACCAGTTTCACCAACAGCCTGAGAACCAACAGCTTGCTATCTCATCACCATGGGGCTATCTCATCAGCATGACACACTTCTTTTCCTATCTTGTTTGATATTCTTTCTCAGCTGTATTGCAGTGGAGCTCTTAAGTCTGCAGAGGGGTCACACGACTTAGGCAGAGGCTATGAATGGAAATATTACTTAATGTAATGTAAGCACTAAAACACATCCTAGAAGTGCTTGCTGCAAGTATATGAATCAGTGGCACTGTGCATGGATTACACTGTGTGTGCCAGAGCAGCCAAGAGCTATTCTGAATTTTCCAGAGAAATCTTTTGGGCTGCTTCTACTCACTATCATGTTTTACAGGTCCTGATACCAATCAAGTAGCTCAACAATAGCTGAAAGCAATTGAACTGTGGAGAAGAGGTGTTATGGTTTAATTTTTCAAGGCTGACTAAGCCCTTTAACATTGCCAGAAAAATCACTGCTTCTGAGTGCTCCAAAGCTCTTCCTGCCAGCTCCTAGTGTAATGAAAAAAGCATAATGAAAACAGGCAGATAGCAGCATGCTGCTGCTGGAAGGGCTCACCCAGTCGTTCCCTGCCCATACCCAAAGGCAAGAAAGAGAGCAGACAGAGGTGAGATTTGGTCGTCCAGACAAGACTGGGTTGTGAATTTAGCACTCCAGTTTTAGGCTACAGAGCTGGTGCTGGTACTGCAATGCAAATACAAAATAACTAGAATTTTCCCTGATTTAGACTGTTACTCTGGGTATCACCCTATTGTAGTGAATGAGGATGATGGGACAGAAGACCACAGAAAATTTGGCAGAATCACACAGACTTTTATTCACCAAATTTAAAAACTCTTAATGAGCTGTACACTCAGATGCACAACAACATAAGCTACAAGCTTATGAACAGAAGGATGAAGTTGCATGTAGCATGTTCCACAATGCTCATTACAAGAGAACATTTGTATATCCAACTGTTAAAGTGAGGCAAAGTAGAACATGTTCTTAAACCTAGTAGGATTAAAGATGAAACAATCAAAGCTTTTTCTTTAGTAGCATTCCTCTGTGACCTTAGGTTTCCAGTTTCTTTATGGAAAGAGAAGATGATAAAAATACGAGCTTGTCAAAGTTGGAATGCATTTATCCACCTTGTGCAAGTTTTGCACGGGATCCACCTGCAATACTACTAAATGCTGACGCCTGCTTTCAGCTTCCCAAGGAAACTTGAAATATAAACTTTAATCAATATAATGCCTTTGATTAACATCTGGCTTATGTCAAGCTAAACTTAGAATGGTAGAGATAGAATCATTAAGGTTGGAAAAGGCCTCTAAGATCATCTAGTGCAACCATGTGCCTATCACCAATACTGCCCACAAAACCATGTTCCAAAGTACCACATCTACACACTTCATGAAAACCTCCAGGGATACTATCCCCATCACCTTCCTTGGCAGCCCTTTCCAGTGTCCAAACACTCTTCCCAAGAATTTTTTCCTAATATCCAACCTGAATCTCCCTGGTGCAACTTGAGACCATTATCTCCCATCAGTCGTACTTGGGAGAAAAGGCCAACTCCCACCTCGCCACAACCTCTTCTCAGGGAGTTGTAGGGAGTGATAAGGTCTTCCCCGAGCATCCTCTGATTCAGACTAAATAATCCCATTTCCCTCAGACTCTCCCTGTAAGACCTGTGGCTCCAGACTCTCCACAGCTTTGTTGCCTTTCTCTGGACACACTCCAGGACATCAATGTCTATTAGTGGGGGCCCAAAAATGAACACAGTACTTGAGGTGCCACCTCACCAGGGCTTAGATGGCAGAATCCAGTTCAATCCATTTCATAAATGAGCATGATTTTATACTATTTTAACAAGAGGGCTTACATCTTGATTTTGGACAAACAGTGACACGCTGCATATTTGTGCGGAGCTGAATGTTGGACTGACAACATCTCCTGAACCTAAATGAGAGAAAGCCGTGTGTGGAAGCTTCAATTACGATCTTGTAAAAAAAAAAAAAAATAGAGGGAGAAAGGAAAAAAAAAAAACAATTATCCATAACAGATGCACAGGCACTGCCCTGACACACCTGCCCACGGGCTGCCACCCCACCCCGTGCCCGAGGCCGCTTTGTCCCTCAGGCTCCGCCCCGGCCCCGCCCCGCCGCGCCGCCCCTGCCCGCCCCCTGCTCCTGGCGCGGCGCTGTCTGCGCGCTGCTGGCTGAGCTGCGCGGCTGTGCGCAGCGCGGAGTTTGCTTTGTGCCCGCGGTCGCGGCAGGACGGCCCGCAGGTAGGAGGGCTCCGCCCGCTCCGTCCCTTCTCGCTCCGGATTAGCATCTCACCGCAGAGCTCGGCGGGCGGTGAGGGAGGGAAAGGGTTAGGGGGAGACAAGGGATTTTTCTGTCGAGGTTCTGCTTGCTGGAAAGCATTCCAGCCCAGGGGCGGACAAACGGCACGAAGTCTCGTTCCGTTTCTTGGCCGGGAGGTGCACGTGGAAAATGCTGTGAGCGAGCCCTAGCATCCGGCGGCGGCTGCTCGCCGGGCCCCGCGTCGCCGCCCTGAGCCGTCCTCGCCGGGCTTCGGGAGACCGAAAACCCGGCGGAGATTCCCTGGGGAATCCCGGCGTCTGCGGTACCGAAAGCGGCATCCCTTCCTGGGGAGAGGCAGCAGCCTGACTGCCGGGAGAGCTGCCGCTTTGCAGAGCTAGAGTTTCGTTGTTTTCTGCCTTTTAGGGTAGGAAAAGGTGGTCTCTCTCCAGACTTTGCCATTTGAACTTGTTTCATCATAGCAGAGAGATTGCATCATGTTACAGTCTTGGATTCACTAAGGGCAAAGGCAAAAAGAACCATCCTTCCAGATCTATCCCATTGGCTTCTCCATCTGACCCCCTCCTTTTTATTTCCTGTTTAACAGAAAGGTTAAAACTAAAAAGCAGCGTGTGATTGGTAGAAGGCTGCTCAGTTCACAGCGACGTATTTTGATTTCTTCCACTGAGAGGTTTTTTTTGGAAACTCGACTTTAACTTGGTCGGTTCTTGGTGTGGATGTGTGCGGGGGCAATATAGGAAACTTAGCAAAGATAGAGACCATAGGAAAACAATCAGTGGCCATAGAGAGCTGAATACACAGCTGAACAGATGTTGCTTTACATATGAGGAGCTCTGGAGTCAGAGGAATTGAGTGGATTCAGAGGGGCATCTTCCAAAAGCGTGGTATCCATGTGCCCAGATTCACGGAGCGGATGAATGAGTGCCCGTGTCCCAAAGGCCAGGCAGGCCAAATGTCAGGAACTGAAGGGTGTTTAGCTGATCTCCCCTATGAATGCTATACTAGTACTTTGATGCACCTAATGCTTGCTGTGTTTGTGCCTGTTTATGTGTCAGACCTGTGTAAGGATTGATCTTTTCAGCTGAGGTCTGTTTGTAATAGGTCTCAAAGCAAGCAAGATCTGATTAGATGTACAGCAATCCAGAGCTTCCTTGCCTTGCAGTTCTTTTGTTCTTTGTGCAGTTCTTTGTTTTGTCCCGGAGGTTGAACTGTCATGGCACAGCTCAGTTTGGTTCTCAGAGGTGTTTACCCCAAGTGTGGTATCACCCTTACAGGTGCTCTCACCATTTGCTCTGAGTGTTACAGGACCATCCTGCAGGGAAATGGCACTTTTATGGAGGACTCCTTTTCTGATTGCCCAGGAAGGGCTGAGGTGGGGGTACAAGGAGCAGCTTGGCAACCAGTTGGACCCATCCATCAACACGCTCTTTTATGGGCACTCAGTGCCCTTCAGTCAACCTCATGCCTCCTGGTGGTCTCTACGGGAAGAGCTGCTCCATTACTTTCAAACAGTTCCTTTTTCCTTTCGGTACTGGGGTGGAGCAAGACCGAATTCTGCGTAAGAGCTGGAGGGAGAGCAGTGCTGCCTTTCTGGGGCTGTAGGGCACCAGATGGGGCTCAAAAGAATTTGATATGGATTCTGGAAAAAAAAGGATCCTCAGTTTTCTTTGTGTGTCTGAACACGTTGTGATCACAGTGACAAGGCTGCTCACAGAACAATGAGCAGACATCCCCTGCCTTCAGCGAAGTGCAGAATTGCTCGGTGTTTCCCAGGAAATATGCCAGCAAAATTCCAAGTGTTGCATTCTGTTCCTGGCTTGCAGGTGGATCTGTAGATACAAGGATTGGAAAGGTCTCTGGGGTCGTAATTTCACACACATGTGACTAATTGTGGTGTTCCTTTCAACGGTGCAAAAGCAACCTGCGGTAAGGTCAAAGCAGGGTTTGTCTTGCCCAGCTGCTCTCTGCAGACTTCCCCGAGACATTGCCTCGGGACAAAGAGCCGGTGTTTCCATGCTGCTTTGTGCAGCATTTGAGTCAGCCAATTTAATTTCCGCCCATTTTCAAAAGTTTCATATCTGATACCTCTGTCAATGAGCCCTGTTAATGGGGGCCCGCTTGGTTAAGTGCTTTGTTCAAGGCTGGGCTCTTTGTGTGGCGTGGGTGGGATGAGGAGGAAGAATGGATGTGCTCTGTATTCATTTGCAAGAGATCTCTGTCGTGCAGGTAGCATGCAAGGACTTAGTGTCCGAACTCATATACAGTTAACTCTGTATTATTGTGGCTTTACTCAGACTGAAGCTCTCTGTATCAACTCTTGAAAAATCATTCATCCCTTCCTGTTACACTGTTGAGCTATCTTTACATTTGCTCATGGCATACAAATGAGCAGTACTGAGTAGTGAGATTTGGCTGTTTGAGCTGCTGAGTACCTTTAACAGAACACTGACATTATGACCTAACAGTGATCATATCCCTCATAGAGCATCCCTAGGAAAGTACAATGAGCGAAGGGTGAATCAACATCTGTTTTTCAACACTATCAACAAATCTGGGAATGAAATTCCTAAGAGGATGTTTTATAGGTTTGTTTTTGTATAGATGTAGTGGTATCTTAAAAGTCAGTGTTGTGTGCTTGTCAATAAAGTAACGAGAACTGCATAGGATAGTTCTTATATAGCCTTTTTCCTAAACTGTAAGAGAAATATTTTTAAAAAATTACTGCATTATTCTTCTTGTGATGATGGTAGTGGATGGGTTTTCTTTTTTAGTATCTGGGGTTTTCTGATGCCAGCATCTCTGCCCTCATGTATTTTTGAGCTGAGTGCTAATAGCTGTCTCTTTGGAGGACAGTTGTTGGTTGTGTCTCTGTTGAGCCAAAATCTTGACAAAATGCTGACTAAGTATGTAGCCTTCCATTAATAAGTGCCAGGAAAAATGTGCTCAAGTGATTTCAGATTCAATCTGCAATCTAGCTGATGTGTCAAAGATAACAGGTTTTTACCCCCATGAAGCACAGCACTTTGTGTACGTGAGATAATTGCCATGAGTTGGACTGAATATATATTATTCATTAGGGGACTGTCATCATATCATGTTCGTGAAATCCCCAAAGTCTCTTATCACTTTCCTAACCACTTCCAAACACTTATGGAAAACAAGATCTTGGGTCCTTCTACATCACTGGTTGATGTTCTGTCTCACTGAATTCAGTCTGTGCTGGTAGCCACTTTCAGTGAGCATGTTTGCTTAGTTCATCTAAAATAAAGAGACTTTGGGAAAGTGGCTTAATTCTTGGATTCACATTATCAGGGACAGCACTCTTACACAGAGAACATGTACTGTTATCTCAGTTCTGCAGAGAAGCAAATAGCAAAAGCTCTTTAATATGCTTCTTTCGTGCTCAACTACTGTTATAAACTGCCCTCCAGTGTATGAAGGCTCAATATTTGGTTGCTGTGGGTGGATTTTTTTTCTTCTTTCAAGTGTTTAAGTATCTTTTTCAAACTTAGCTGCTCCCTCCTTGGATGCACGTGCTTATGGCATTGCTGCTGTCCAAACATGGAGCAGAAGATAAGGGAAGGTAAGGAAGGAATTCCCCTATTATTAGCATTGAGCAGGTCCAGATTTTATTTTGCTTCAGCATTTCTTCCCAGGAGCAGCTGCAAATAGAGAACACAGTGTGACCTTCGCTGCAGCTCCTAGTGCAGCCATCAATCAGGTCTGGCAGGGGTTTTATTGCGTCTGTCAGGGGTGCTCGTAAGCCACATGCTGTCTGGTTTGGGGAGGGGGTGGGAACAAACAAACAAAGGGAACTACTGTTGGTTTTGCTTGAAATAAAACAAACGTGAGTGAGCTTTTCCCATGTATGCCAGCATTGGAGACGGATTTCAATTTTTACTATGAGCCATTGGTCTGATTAATAAAATGGGATCAGCAGTTGCCCTATGCCTCAGTGTCCCTAGCAAACCATTCACAAACTAATGCATCCTCACCGGCAGTCAGTGCTCTCTGGTTAATCCTAGGTGATAATTTTACGAAGGAGTTAAAACAGTTAAATTATTTTAGGTAGTTTGTTGCACACGGGTGTTAGGAAAGGTTGGATATTAGGAAAAATTTCTTCTCAAAAAGAGTGTTGAGGTGTTTGGTACAGGCTGTTCATGCACATTGTGGAGTCACTGTCCGGGAGGTTTTCAAGGAATGGGTGGATGTAGCACGTAGGGACATGGGCTGGGCTAGGTGGTCATAGGCATGGCTTGATGGTTGGACTTGAGGATGTTAGTGGTTTATCCTTAGCAATTCTATTAAGGAAAGGATTTTCAGACTTATCTGAATATTCGAGGAAAATAAGGCAGCTTTGTCAGATAGAGCAGTTCTGGGGTTTTGTGGGAACACGTGTGCCTTCACAGGCTTTTCTAGGCTTGCATTTGGAGAAAAGTTCACAGTGAGCAAGCCCAGCCGATGAGCTCAGCTGATGATCGCATCCCACTTTTAAGCATGCAAAGCATTATTCTCACAGTGTTAAGTGCTTTGTATGTTTGCTTTGAGTTCTTTTTTTTTTTTTTTTTTTAAGAATATATATTTTTTTTTTCCTCTTTTCCCTACCAGCATTGATCTGCTTTTAGAATTCTACTGGAGTTCAAAACAATTTATATTCTTAGATTTTCTTCACCTCTACAACAAATCCGCATCTTTTTCAAATTCCTCTGCTGTCTTCTCATACCAGATCTGGAAGTGCAACTTTCTTGTGTTTTTTTCTTTTCTTTTTTTTTTTTTTTTTCTGAGGGCTCAACTCAGCACAGTGGTAGTTTGTTACTTCATGCTTTGCTGCCAGTTAAATGAGAGGTCAGGAGCAATGGGACAGGCAGCAGTGCTGGTGTGCAGCCCTATCTTCCTTTGTGGGCCTGTGTTTGTGTATATACAGATGGATTTATGCGTGTATAGGTACAGGTGAGATGTATTT